TCTTGGCATACCTCGCTTCATCTTTCATTTTTATTTTCTATTATTTTCTTTGTTCTTTTGATTGCGATAGTCGAGTTTCCGACAACAAAATAGGAGTGTCACGTGAGTTTTTTAAATAATCATGCTACATGTACATTATCTTTTACATTATTATTTACATTGTGTCACGTGACAGCACACTATAATCACCATTGGACAGTTTTAAAAAAAAAACATTTTTCCCTTCTACGATTTTTCGAAAACATGAGTGATGTTAAAAACAATGTACATCATGTTTTTTCTTTTTTATGTTTGTCTAGCTCATGTCTACATTCATTCAATTATAAGCATTCTACGCAGTGTCTTTGAATGTAGGGAAAAAACTAGAAGTGACCTTGAGTGCCTCTAACCTAGCTCCAATGAAAATTGATCTACTGTCTCTGCTGATCAAAAAACGTTAAATCAATTCGTTTAAAAGTTTTTGTTAGAGTGGGACGAAATTATTATTTTTATATGGCATTTCACGTGCAGGAAAGAGATTCATTTTTCTATATATGCCTAATATGTCGAATTTTTACCAAGAAGAGATTGCAAGACTTGACTCGAGATTTCTTTTATGTTCTAAAATCATATTGAATTAATTATTTAAATATTTATTATTCATGTTTTTATTAATATATATTTTGAATTTTCAGATCAAATTTAAGCCCCATTTTTTGGGAGAATAGATTTCGTAATAATATTTTTTTAGAGAATGTGTGGTTAAAATGTAGAAAAAAAAGTTTTGATTTTACACGTAAATGTATTTTTTTGAGAGAATGTGTGATTGAAGATAAATTTTTTTTAAAAAAAATGAGTTTTTAAATAATGAAGTTCAAACAAGGGCTAAAAGCTGTATTTTGATTCAGGATTATGCTAGATGTACACAATCATTTACATATTGGATTACACCCCCCTCACATTGAGGTGGTCCCACACAATAAAATATTCGTGGGCCCATCTCCATGTGAGGGGGTATAACCCGGGTGTAAACCATCGGGTATACATCTAGCATAATTCTTTAATTAATCAACATATATGTAATGAAAATAAATGAGATTAAATGCAATTTAAATGAAAATATAGAATGATATACACATCACATCAACAAGTTTATTATTTAAATTTAGGGATTGTTACTAGAACTCTTCTATTAGATCATAATCTTTTTCTCAATATATGAGGAAAAAATGTAATTTCACACTAATTTGAATGTCCACAACAAAAAAAATATTCATATTTGCTATCAAATACATTATGGAGGTTGTAGTGTGATACTCTTTGTTACTAGATAGAGATGATTTAATTGTCAACGAATCATATGTAGAAGAATCGTAAATGCACATATTATGCGATTATTAAAAATATTAAAAATAAAGCTACTTGTACATAAAAATTATATAATGATTTACATACAAATAATGTGTCAAAAAGAGGGTGGAGATTTTTTTTTTATTACAATTTGGTTGATGTGTACATAAACTATTATATAACATATTACGTATATGTAGCACAACCTCAAAATTAATAAATACTTCAAAATAACATGTACATCACATGTCCCACCGAATACTATCAAAATGGTAGGGGAGCACGATCACATGATTGTTAATTTAGGATGTGATCACTCGAACGGACTTCGAATTTAATAAAATAGAGTTTTATTAATGGGGTAAAATTATTTAAAGATCAAACAATTTTTGTCTTAGTGTTTCAAGACATTGTTGCTCAACCCCCATACACAAATGTGGCCTAGAGGTCCATATTGTAAGGTATTTATTAAAAAGAAATTTTACTTTCAATTTTAATTAAATTAAAAATTAAAAACAAAAATAAAATGAAGGATCGAAGACTTATTCCGATATCCAAGCACTCTCGCCCTCGCATAAGTAATCACTTTTTTAGGTGTGATGTGGTCAATTATTAAATCAAATTTTTTATTCACGATGGCATTGAATATTCAAACTCGATCAACTCAAAACTCATACGAATGTATCAAACAAATGTACCAAACACAATTGTTAACTTTATACATACAAATATTAAAGAAGACACGAGTAGGTTGAAAGTGTGTGATCGATTATTTGACTTATGCTTTAACATCAACAGAGAGAAATGCATTTACTTTACAATTGACGCATTCTAGACTCGTGGAATGCACCTGAATGTTACAGTGTAAATATCTAAATTTCAAACGCTCTTTCTACTCTAACTTTAAACTGTTGTGTCGATCGTAAATTCGAGCGTATCCAATTCATATATACAAGTATTTAATATACCCAACCAAAGCACATGCTAGTGACCCAATAATGGAATAATGATTCACTCGTAAATATATTTATAATCAAATATATGTCCAATAATTTATTTTAGGAGTGGGATAGGTTTACCCCTTTGGTTTATATTAAACTAATTAAAGTTAATATTAAATTAATTGATCCCTTTGACTCAATAATCAGAATCAGAACTGTACTTTTAATTATTATTTAATTAACAGTTTTAAGGATTCACTTGTAACCTAATTATAATCAAAACCTTTGCACCTTTTTTACTGTCGAATAAATAATAATTTAAAGTACACTTATAATTTAATTTAATATTACTTTTATTAGTTTAATTAATAAAATATAATCCAAAAGGAGAAACATATTCCCTTCCTAAAATTAAAATATTCTGCCCTTAAATAACTTATAATCCCGAGCTTACATGACCCACGCATACGACAAAAACCTTGGAAGAGAGTGACGCATCAGGTATACACGTGTCGAGCTTTCGATTGACTACCGACACATGCAATTCATGGACCGATTTCCGGCTCCCGGTTCTAACTTACGCCTGTTCGTCTATCCCTGCTTAAATACGCCTCTCATCATGTTCTTTCCCATACTTCAAGAACCCATAAAACCCCTCTCTCTCATTGGTCTCTCACTCATGACTCATTTCTGAAACAAAAAAATGTCTGTTAGATCATCAGCTCTAATTTCATTTATGCGTAAACGCGTTAAAGATCAAGAAATATATTTTCCGTTTTGTATTAGTAATTCTACTTTTGGTTCCTAAAGATCAGCATTAAATCAGAACGAATTCTGTTCCTTTTTCCTGTTTTTCTCTTTCTTTGCTCAATCTTTTCACGTCACACCCTTTTCGTTCATTTTGTTCAACTGATGCCCCTCCTACTTGATCAGTTTTTTGTACTTATTTTCAGATTTTTCTGAAATTTATTGTTGTTGTACCGAGGTAAGTTTGCATTCAGATCCTGAACTAGGGTTTGGATTTTCTGATTGGTTGTCGGGCGGGAGATGATGAATGTGCGAAATTCTAGATTTTGTGATGTTCTTTCTTGTTGGGTTTTTGATAGTTGAATGAGAGATTGAGGTTTGGTTTATTGGTGAATTTGCTATGTTTGGGAATCTTAGACGCCGCCTGGCAGGGACACTGCCTTTAGATGACCGGATGGAGAAAGGGCAAGTAAGAAATCGACATTCTAGAGTATGTTTATTAGCTTCATTATCAGCTTTCTTTTGGTTTGTGTTGTTATATTTCCATTTTGTTATGCTTGGAGGTAGCAGTGTTGTGACTCAGTCAAACCCCGCTACCGTAAACACTGAATCAATAAAAAAAATCCCGCGTAATCCCAACCCGATCCATGTTAGTAGCCATGTTGCTAGTGATAGTCCTAAATTTGATGTTAGTCGTGAAAAAGAAATATCTGCTAATGGTAAATCAAAAGATGAAAGCCTAAAGATTGTGAAATCGAGCAATGTGAAACATTTGCCGGTGAATAAGAAAGATAGGGCTCATAGTCAGATGGCGAAATATCCTTTTATGAGGGCATTAAGAACCCGTGAGAATAAGAGTGATCCGTGTGGAGGGAGGTATATTTATGTTTATGATCTTCCTCCGAGATTCAATGAGAATATGCTGAAAGAGTGTAGGAGCCTTAGCCTATGGACCAATATGTGTAAGTACACTACTAATGCTGGGCTTGGTCCTCCATTGGAGAATGCTGAAGGGGTGTTCTCAAATACTGGGTGGTATGCAACTAATCAATTTGCCGTGGATGTGATCTTTAGCAATCGGATGAAGCAATATGAATGCTTGACAAATGATTCGTCTTTGGCTGCTGCTATTTTTGTGCCTTTCTATGCAGGTTTTGATATTGCAAGGTATCTTTGGGGCCACAATGTATCGACAAGGGATGCTTCTTCTCTTGCTTTGGTTGATTGGCTCATGAAGAGGCCGGAGTGGGGGATAATGGGAGGAAAAGATCACTTTCTAGTTGCGGGTAGGATAACATGGGACTTCAGGAGATTGACTGATGAAGAATATGACTGGGGTAACAAGCTTCTCTTCTTACCCGCTGCCAAAAACATGTCAATGCTTGTGGTAGAATCCAGTCCCTGGAATGAAAATGACTATGGCATCCCATATCCGACCTACTTCCATCCTGCAAAGGATGCCGATGTATTTATTTGGCAGGAAAGGATGAGCAAACTGGATAGGAAATGGCTATATTGTTTTGCTGGTGCACCACGTCCAGACAACCCCAAATCGATCAGGGGGCAGATCATTGATCAATGCAAGAACTCCAAAGTTTGCAAACTATTGGAGTGTGATTTTGGGGAGAGCAAGTGTCATTCTCCAAGCAGCATAATGCAGATGTTTCAGAGCTCTCTTTTCTGCCTGCAGCCTCAGGGTGATTCATACACGAGAAGATCCGCATTTGACTCCATGTTAGCTGGTTGTATACCTGTCTTCTTCCATCCAGGTTCTGCCTACACGCAATACACTTGGCATTTGCCAAGAAATTATTCACTCATGAGGTAAAAGTAAGGCCTCCTCGATATTCGTGAGAGGAATCTCAGCATAGAACAAAGGCTCGGTGAAATTTCTCAAGAGAAGGTAAAAGAAATGAGGGAGATGGTTATAAATCTCATCCCAAGGCTTATATATGCAGATCCTCGCTCCAAATTGGAGACCCTCAAAGATGCTTTTGACGTGTCTGTTCAGGCTGTCATTGACAAAGTTACAAAGTTGAGGAAAGACATCATCATTGGGCGTAAAGATGATAATTTTATTGAGGAGCTTAGTTGGAAATATGCTTTGTTAGATGAAGGCCAAGAGGTAGGGCCTCATGAATGGGATCCGTTCTTCTCAAAACCTAAAGATGGCAATGCAGATTCCAACAGTTCATCCGCAGAATCTGCTAAAAACTCCTGGAAGAATGAGCAAAGACAATAGCCATGAATATTGAAATTGATATTTTTCCAAATTCCCAGCAATGCACGGTGTACGATGGCTGGATCTTCAATTGAGACACCAGTAGTGGTGCATTTTGTGTGGAATCGAGGTATGAATGTTGGTCTTGGTATGACATTACATTATACTATATGGTCTAGGAATGAAAATCTTGTTTAAAGACAAGATGAAGAGATATACAATTATGCTTCCGGTATAAATAGGTTTCTTATATGTCTTTCACAAATATTGGTTTGCCATTCTTTTTCAAAGGATTTAGTATACAGATTCTGTGACATAGCTGAGTGAACATACTCTTATATGATGAATGTTCACTTTAAGGAAAGGCACGAGAGAAAGAACAATGAGTACTTGTCATTTTTGCTTTCAGTAATAGAAATCAAGTTTTTAGTCATAAATAATCCTTTTATTACAATTCATTTTTACTTTAGTTCTCCGAAGTAGTTCAGAAAACAAACTGCAGTCGTTAGTTGCACATATTTGAAATGCTTTAAAGCCGTTTCCAGGATATTTCGGCTAAAATCTTTCTTACACTTGGTGAGATGGATGTAGTGTTGAATCTGATTTGTCTAGAGAGAATCAATCTTTTGCAGGACCAAAAATGTAAAAACTCCCCGTTATCGTCTGTGGATTACTGTATGTTGTTGTGAACACTGACTGAATAAAATACAGTTTGATTTAAAGCTTTCTCGAGGAAATCTGCTAAAATAATGTTCTACTACTCGCTGAGAGTGGTCTTGTGTTAAGACAATCTGTCAGCCAGGATGAAGTATCCATTTGCTGGACTTGAGCAGTCTTGATTTGCAAAATGTAGAGAAAGAGATCAAGCTCTGATCTTCTTACCAATTAATTTTTTTTTTTATAGGTAATCACGTAAATTTTATAAATCAAAAATAAAAGATAATACACAAGGAGTGCATTATCATGTTAAACAAGATAGAAACGATAAAAAATTCGGCAACCCTTCTATCGGACT